AGAGACAAAGAAAACAGCCTGCCAAAGTTTTGGGGGAAAAGGTACAATCAATCAGATCTGGCACTTCTTGCTGCTGAGAATCCAATTTTCAGCTAAAGCCACTTTCCTTTGGTGTTTATTTCTCAGTCAGAACCACCTCTCAGAAGTGATACAAACCTATTATCTTTCCTTTTGGTGTACATTAGGTGGGCAATCCAGCCCTCCCCATAGCTTAGCCATCAACTTAGCCAGCAACTTAGCCAGCCTATACAAACAGGGACAACCAAGTTCACCTCTATTTCTGCTCTCAAGTCATTCTTTCTTATGTGGCTGCTGAACTCCCACCACGGGGAATGTTCTATATGGGTATATCCACCATGCAGTACCATGTGACCTTGGCTGAGGTATTTTGGGGGAAAAAAAAAAAGAAGGAAACAGGGGAACACAAAATCTACCAGTTCATCACAGGGAGCTTTAGGTACTTGAGCTTTCTCCTGCAGACTGAAACAATGTGCAGGGCAGAAGAATGAGCACTGTATTCCTCTGTATTGCTTCTAGCACTGCTCTGCTCCAGGGATCCCTGCTCTCTCTTGCCCATAGTATTATGGTACCCACTATGGCAAGTCCTAATACTCTCAGCCTTCTTGTACAGAACATGCTCCTCTCCGTTTCCTTATCCTACTTCTACTCCTTCCAGCCTCCATCTAAACCCGTATTAATAAGCCAAGGTCAAGCAGATTTGATCCTGACAGATCTCATTAGGTGAGATCATTTCTAAATTATGGTAGCTGGCCAGCCATTTACCATGGTGATTCACTGCTTCAGGCAGGTTCCTTATCCATCCTTATGAATACAAACAACACAAGAACAGCATTTTTGCCTGCTGTGTTTGATGGGATGATTTTAACTTCTCTCACTTGAGGTTACAGCTAAAAATGGGTTGATGCACTTTCTTTATCCTGGGCATATTTGTTAAGTTCTCTCAGGGAGTTCAGCTCACACAGAATATATTAATGGCCCATTGCAAGAAGAGTCTGTAATACTTGTCCTTGAATTAGTTATCCTGTCCATCGGCTTATTTAGCAGATAGAAGGCATCTAAGCAAGGCCTAGGACCTAGGCAATTACAGAATCTCTTCTCTCCCCGTGAGCTACAAAAGCAAGTAATCAGTTGAGACACTCTTTATAAGCAAAACTGTAAGAGAGCTGCAGAAAAATTATTTTCTAACTTCAGGTACATAAGCTTCCTAAAGGATGCTTCCCAGGCCAAGGACAGTCCCAGCCTTTTCCTTCTGAGAACAGTGAGTTTTACATTTATTATCCCACATTTAAAAAAAATAAGAGGCTTACAACTTCTAAAAAAAAAAAAGAAAAAAGACAGGATGGGATACAGAAAAAGAGATTAAAGAGTCTATTATCTGTCTCAATTACTTTAACTGTCTTTAACTATTGCAAATTCTCTCAATGGACTTACCACAAGTGAAGCCTGGCCTAAGATCTCTTCATCTATTTTAAAATAACATGACCAAAAAACCCAAACCAAACTAAGCATTATAAAACAAACCAGTCTTCAATCAGTCTGGTACATGTAAAACTACTGAAATTCTCCCAAAAATATGAAGGTACCTAAGTAACAGGTCTGTGACACTTGTACGTAGTACACATGGATATGTGGCTACTATTTGATATCTCAAATCAAGAGTTGCCTTATATAACTGCACTTTAAAGCTGCCCCCCACATATTTATTCTTATTTATAAGAAAAAAAAATACAAAAATTAAAATTCTACAGCATTGTAAAGTTATTCAAAGAAACCATTTATGAGGTGCTTATCCTTTACCAGCAAGTTAATAACTTACACTGGAATCAACCAAAGCCCCAGGTGCATTAAGGAACTAGCAGGTAATTAACAGATTGGCCGGAGGCCAGTAAATCACAATATTTCTACAGCTAGGAACAAAGCTTTGCTTTATAAAAAGTAATGATATATATTAACTGGAAGAACTTGTATCATTATTACCTGAAAGCATTTAAGGAGACAGCAATTCTAAGCTTAAAGTTTGGATGGCGATTCTCTATGAAAAGATAACAGGAACTGATTTTATACAATGCCTTTTATATTAGAGGCAAAATTGCTTAACAAACAACTATGTGGCCAAGGTGCACCACGGCAACTGTGTAGGCAAATCTAGCAGTCTCTAGGCACTTTGCAACAGCTCATATGAAACCTCATTAATTATTTCAGCAGAAGCGGAAGGACCTGAACAGGATCTGGGCTTTGTTTTGCTTGGCTTGGCATCCTGAAAACAGAGACACCTTCTTCCAAGATGTTAAATAGATGAAAAAAAAAAAAGAAAAGGTAGAAAGTGACACAGAGGGATGAAGTGTTACTGGTCACACACAGGTCAAAACCAAGTTATCTTCCAGGGTGACCATAGCGGATGGTGGGGCTGGTAGAGTGAAGAATAACTTAAGCGGTCAGTCAGAACATAGAGGGTCTTGCACTTACCTTCTCTTCTGGCTCAAAGGTTGCCATCCTTTTATTGGAGACCCCTCACTTTGCCAGGTGGGCTGCACATTGAAGTACTCCCTAGCTTATGTAATGTCAGAAAGAACTAAGTCACCAAAGACATTATCTAAAGGCTTTTAGTTAACCCTGCCTGTGTGAGTTGAGACAGACTAAGGAATGGTCATTCAAGTAGCTCACTGAGCTCTGATGGGTGAGGAGGACCAACACCTCCAGAAAAGATGTTGTGATATGCAACTCGGAGTGATAGCTTTTTTAACCAGAACAACTAGAAGCAGACGAGGCCCACGCTCTTAGCTGCCCAGCTCAGCTGGAGAGCCCCAAGGTACTGCTTCATGCTTTTGTTATTAGAAGAGACGATGCTAAGAGGACAAGAGTGCAAGTGCACTGCAGCCCTGGCTTTGTGTGTGAATCTGTACTCCTTGGCATTACCACAAAGTACCACCTTTCCAATCTGAATATTCTGTGTTAAGCTCTACTCCTCAGCAATAGCTCCATCTGCCAAAGTACCCCCTTTTCTATCTGTCAAATTCCTTTCTGTTGTAACTCCTGTGTCATTCAGTGACTAGGGCATGGAGACATAACTGAAAAATCAACTGTTTCATTGTACAGGAGAGGGACCTCAATGCCACTGACGATAACTACTTCCCAAGTTAACGGGAACAGCATATGTTAAGTCCAGTAGTGTCTGAAATCACAGCAAGAGTAAATAGCCCTCATCTCCACCTCTGCCAAGGAAAAGTTACATCAAGAGCATATTATCAGCCTGTGATATCTAAGAGTTTCTCACAGGCAATATGGGTGAAGAAATCAAAGTCTTTCTGAGCAATGGCCTTTATTTTAAATGGTGCCTCTTCTGCTATGAACCAGTGAACTATTTCCCTTTAGTGACTGAAGTTGAAGCACCAATTTTAGGGCTAATTATTAGTTGTTAAAAAAATTATCATAACAACAAAAATAAGGGAAACAATTATATTGATATTTACCCCTTTGGCAAATACTTCCTGTCCCTGTGAGACAGGATATGAATAACATATCAAACACAAAAAAAGAAGGTCTTGGCTCCAAGCTAACTAGTCGTGATGCTTTTTCCAGAAAAGAAGCAAGTATATCACCATATTCAATAGCCCTGCAAATTCAGGCAGGGGGAAAGACTCTGCAGAACAGATGCATCTCCAGCAGACTAAATAAGATGAGGGCATAAAAAGGGAATACATTTATACACTACATCAATACCTGAGGAAGAAAAGCATAATCTCATTAGTCCTATTATTATTCCTATTCTATTTTTCCTTGCAATTAGCATTGAACATATTTT